GATGGCGTGGGTAGTTGCTCATAATATCAACCACAGGATTGCCTGGGCCAGATTCGATTATTTACAGGCCTCGGTCATATAGCTTGAATATTGTGCAACAAACACATACATTACCTGGGAGGAGCACGGCCGTACAGTTAATAGTGTGGAAGGACACTCAAGCTCTGTTGGGTCAAAATATAAGTTAAGTTGAGAAAAAAACGTTTTATAACTGTATTTCCTTTGTTAGATTGTCTTAGCTTCTTTGAGCGGCATTTAAAAGTTGTGAATAACAAGGAAAGGTTCTCAGAGACAAACGAATTCCTTATTACAACAGAGGCGACGTTTCGGTGTAGACTCTGACATTATTGTCCAGCAAGTTCTTTATCCACCAGAGTGTATCTTTGTCAAAGAAAAAACAAACAATGTTTCGCAAAATGATGTTTGGATATAATCATATTGAAAACTTAGGGCTATTATTGATTTTGTTGGAACCTGCGTTCAGCTTTCACTCCTGAAAGTTTTTAGGGCTTCGGTCCTAACCACACTGAAACATATGCTCCGCATGGTGTCTCCCCGGGCAAGTGACATTGTTTGAAACTTGCCTTGTGTTCAGGCAGCAGCGAATGGGTACCCGGTAGAATCAGATGGTCATGTGACTGTTCACCTAGCGCCTCATACGCAACTTGAGCTGTATACTCCCGAGAGAGCACACTGACAAACTGGTCAGATAATGAACGATGTAGCGCTTTAAACATACACTACTGTATGGAATGTAGCCTGTATGGATGATGACGAATACACGCCCGGGGCTTCCACAGGCACCACGTGTGTTCCCCTCCTGGCTGATCTATTTCTAAATGCATGTGAATCGGAATTTCTGCTCGGATTGGATACGCGAAATCAAAACACGGGAATTTAGCCAAGTAGCTCGGGTATGACGATAATCTACAATTGTACATACATAGACAATTTCAATGAGCGTCATATCGATCAGAGTCAGAACATGCAAGCTTTATGGGCAGACAATTTGATGTTTCTATAGTATCTTGCAACAATGTATTTTTTCGAACCTTCATATTTTCCTTACATCCAAAACATTTTGACTTTATGATTGTATGGGACGTGACACAGGCTTTTTTAGTGCAGTTCGCTTGGTCAATCATAACTATACCATTTGCCTTGGACAAATTGACTAAAGTTGAAGACATGGCCACCATTTCGGAAAGCAATTGAAAGTAGCTGAAAAAGAATTAACATGATTTGTTATAAATGGTATAATTTTGAGATAAACATACTGTGTTTTCAATGTAGAGCTACGTGACCTGCATATTCCCGAGGCAAGGGAGTTTACTGACTGTAAAAGTCCAGTTTCTTCCCTTGCCGAACTAGGGACCCGTGAAAATCCGGGGTAGAATAGATCTTCAGCAACCCATGCTTGCCGTAAAAGGCGACTATGCTTGTCATAAAAGGCGACTAACGGGATTGGGTGGTCAGGCTCGCTGACTTGGTTGATGCATGTCATCGATCCCAATTGCATATCATCGATGTTCATGATGTCAATCACTGGATTGTCTGGTCCTGACTCGATTATTTACAGACCGTCGTCAAATAGCTGGAATATATAACAACAAACTAACCAACCAACCTTGCCGAACTTGGCCGGAGGAGATATTTTCACGAATAGCCACTAGTGGAAATATCTCCCCTCCCGCGTCACAAGACGAGAGAATCATGATATTTCGCTCGACAGATGAAATATCCTATTTAGTATGTACTTTTTGTGTCGTTGTCTTCCGGAAATTTATATCATTTCACTACAAATGTCAAACCTTGAAACGTCAATTCTCCCTCCCTGACACATCCCTTGTATTTGCGGCGTAAACAGGGTCACGAAAATTCTTTATCATACATTTAGATATGATAATATACAAAGTCAACCCTAAACAAATATTCTTAAAATCTATGAGACCGCTGTTGAAACCGAAAGAATACACGCTGGTCATGTAACAAAAAAAATAGCGCTTTGCGAATTGAACAGCCTTGATTGACGAGTTAAATGAGAAATTTACAGTTTATAACGAAACATTATCAAGAGAATAACAAACGTCGAGAAACGATATTAACTCCATAAATTGCCATCTGTCGTTATTTTGCCTTGTCAATGTGTAACTAGCGTTAAAAAGGAACTTACGATAAAGTGAGTCGAATAGCTCTTGCATGACAATAGTTCCGCCAGTGTTATGTTCGCTGCTGTAAAATATCAAGTGTCATGTTCACTGCAATGAAAATATCACTTTTCTCAACTTCAGAAAACCTGAAGTATATAATAAATTCTCTTTGTAGATTTATATCGTGTTTTCTGCACGAAATGTGTTGCCACATATCCTTTGAGTATTGAAATAACCACAACTTTGCATTTTGTGACCTGTAATTGTATATATAATAATTTAAATATGCCTACCGACAATGACTGAAAAAAGTACTATGTTATGAATATTAGCTTCCGCGGTGATGCAGTCGTCAAACCAGCTGTTTCAATCAGAGGGGGTTTATTGTGATTTAATAGCCTCTGATTGACCAAACAGTATCTAGTAATTTCCAAATTCATGCTAGATTTTGTTTTTTTAAAAATATGTAAAAAAAACTGTAAAAAATATGACAATATTTATGCCTATATACCTTAATTCATTTTCATAATACCGATGTACTGATATACTATTAATATTCCTGATCTGAGAAAACTGTTTGTTGTTTGTACTTTTGTAGATTTGGACGGTGATGTAAGGATGTAAATTCTACAATCATAATAGTATTTGTGTGCCTTGAAGCCTTGTATTATCGAGCACTGAATAAAACGTTCTGAATGTTACACTTTCTGTCTGTTTTATACAAAGACTACTAGAGCTGTGAAAAAGAGGAGATTGAACTAACTTACCATTGTACTTATTATTGGTGGGGAGGTCGGGTAGCCTAGTTGTTAAAACATTCGCTCGTCACGCCGAAGACCCGGGTTAGATTCCCGACATGGGTACATTGTGTGAAGCCCATTTCTGGTGTCCCCTGCCGTGATATTGCTGGAATATTGCTAGAAGCGGCGTAAAACCCTACTCACTCACCCTTATTACCGTATTCGACGTAATAAGAGCCCAGGGCGCTCTCAAAATTAGAAATAGGGGGCTCTTATTAGAATATTATTTTGTCGAAAAAAACAGAGTTGAAAGATAAATTCCGTGATTTATGCTCACAGCCTGAAATTTTTATATACGAGAGATATATTTTTCCAGAATTTAATTGCCCATAATTAAGGGTGCATATAACACACGAGTGCGTATTATAAGCGAATAAATAAGTATTGTGTACATTGATCAATCGGAAAGGGTGGTAATTGGGATTGTTCACGAGCCAATATATTAGCAAATATCGCCGTGGGCGCTTATTAGAGCGGGGCGCTTATTACGTCGAATACGGTAGTCTTCACAACTGGCGCAAGACAAAGAACCAATCACGTTCTTAAAGTCGATGTAATTTCCTATCTAATTCGATGTAATTTACTTTCTCACGAACACCTGGTATCATTACGGTTTGATAGTGACTTATAAACACATGCTGATGATACAGTCGGAATCGTACAATCGGCTACTGATTATGGAAAGAGTTTTTGTTGAATAATGTATCCGAGTTTATACTTACATATATTTCAAGCGACCATTCATTTATAAGATGTTTTGAAGAAACTTGGTTCCACAAAATCCATTATGTAGTGTATGTATGGTAGTGTCATACAATCTGTTTTTACTTGTGTCACTAACTGTTCATATGGTTATTCCATTGTTGACACTACCGAGGTATTAGGTTTGACTTTGATGGGAGACTACACTGTGCGAGTACTGTATGTCATAAACTCGACGACCATAGCTCAAAGTACGTATCTGCCTTCAGTGATTCAGGACAATTTGTCCAAAATGAAACCAAATATTATTTGAAGGTAACTGAGAAAACATAATATGTTGAACTTCATCATTGATCAGTAAAATCTGTGTGAAATTTGGGGATAAGGCATTTTGACAAGATGGTGGCATCATAGAATTTGCTCACGTGAGGTACTGTCTTCAATCAGCTGATTGACGTCAACAAATACAACTTCAATCCTGAAATGAACTAAGATTAGCTGCCCCTGAGTTATCAATAAGGTCACGGTCATTACTAATGCCTGCCGACACCTTCCGTGTTTATCCTTCCCAAATTATCGAAAAGGTTCGTTGTTTCACACTTCTTCAGCATGGACTTGGATAGAAATATATTGTAAGCTATCGACTCCATAGTTATGTGGATCGCTGTCGCGATCAAGAACATTTCTGACGTGAAATCATTGATGCGTTCTTCGTGTTTTCGAAGTGTAAATTTGAATCATACAGTTTAACAAAATGAAATGTCAATGTTTGAACGTAAAGCAGACTAATTGTTTGGCAACATATCTATGGCAAAGTATGCCGCCATCTTGGATGAAGATAAAATAAATTTACGACAGGTATGGGGCTATCTCAGATTTATGACAAACTTAAGATATCTTAGGCTACGACAGTGTCCAAAATAGGCTACGATAGCCTACGATTTCCTTACGATATCTTAACGATAATTTTAGGGCTACGATCGTTTCGAAAATCTAAGCTCTGTATTTCAAAGGTAGGCCCTGCTCGAAGCTGAGAATTTGCACGAATTTCCGCACTTTTGCACATAGAGACAAATGCATATAGTATTTTCTACATGTCAACTTGATGAGGGAGGAAAGCCCAAAGTGATGCAGGTGTCGGACGTTTACCACCTTGGTGAAACCCACAAGCAATATATGGTGGTGCTGACAAACCTATAAACAGAATTAGGGCGAACTGGGATTCGAAACCATAATCATAGGTTTCCATCAGGCCAAAGAGAAGCAACTCTGTTCAGAGAACTGCAGTGCCTCAGACGACTGGCGACCTGTGCTACCTTCAACAAAGAAAATACAAAGATACACCATAAAAGATTTATGATTTTATTGAATTTTCCACATTTGCATGACACAGCCATCACTCAACTCAAATCAGCATCCTTTGACAATAACAAGCATGCCAGGTTCTGGCAAATGTTCATCATAAAATCAAGCTGTTATGTACATTGTAGCCTATATAGTCTAAGATGGGGCCTAGTTGTGATTGCTAAACTCTTGATACAATACCAATCCAAGAATACCATGGGGCTGAGGCTGAGGCTGATCAGCAAGCTCGTCAAAGGCTCACTGTACCTTCCACAACCTGATCGAATTGGGATATTACACAATAAAAACATCCAGCCTGCTTGGAACAGGCCCCCAACAGCAAGCCAGAGAATCCAACATGAGTTCCTTGCATAGCATTAACCAGAGAAAAGGAGCACAAATCATTCAGAACCCTTGGTGACTTGATCCAATGACCATCTACATTCAAATACCGTACTAGGATAAGGCTCAGACTGCTGGTTAAGAATCACCTAGGCAGTTGGACACCTGGCTGCCGTTTTACAAAACAACCTAAGCCCTAAGACTGTCCTCTATGTTAATGCATGGGAGTTATGATTACTTTAGTGCTAATATCGCTTTGTACAACGACGCCCTGGTAACAACTGAAAATCGAAAGTTCAGAACAAATTCTGCTTGATGGTATGCTAGCTGACACAGGGTCACTTGGAACATCCTGCTTTCTTCATGCATTGATACACCTTGGCTTTGGTCTGGCAGGAGCTGACCAGAAGATCACAAGAGTAAGTAACTTGACTCCCTGACTCAGCTTCACAAATGCTGGGGTTAGCTTCCCAATTATTTTCCCTTGCTCTAACACAAAGTCACAACCCATAGAGGACTGAAAGGTTCCACTTGTGAACCTTCAACAGCAGGAAAATGGATATATCACATCTGTTTCTAGCTTAGGATCTTCAGAAAAAGGTACATCTCCAGGATGAAACACCTTAACAATTAACTGCCGAAAAATAAGGCTCTTCAGAGCAGCCAACTGTTTGAATGAATGCTGACCAACAAGCTAGTGCTGACTTAAAATTCAATCAGAAAAGACTACAGTTGAAATATTTGCTGATGTCTGGTTAGAAACGTGCAATCATTCAGATCTTTGTGGTGATTTAGAATACAAAACTGACCTACTGTTTCACATTATCAATCCATGAACAGTAGAAACCCAAGAGATTCCTTTTGTGGTAATAGTTACCATGTGCAAGTGTGTCTATCATTGAGCAGATTCATGCACAATTGTTACTGGGAATGCAATAAATTAAAGTTGCTGTACAAATACGAAGCCCTTCTGTTGCATTAGTATGCTTGTTTTTTTAATGAGAAAAAATAATTTCCATCTTAGAATTGCATACAGTTGTAATACTTTATTAAATATGAACTAGATCTTGCATATTTGTTTTTCAGTTTAAAGTGGCACACTGAACGATATTAGATTACAGTCAAAAGCAAAATTAAGTTGTGCTTCTGAATTTTAGTAACAAAATTTAGCTTCAACACAATTGATCTCATAGTTTTTTTAAAAAAAAGATGAGACTTGCATGAACACATGTTTATGGATGGACAAGAAAGTGATTCACAAATCTTTCAATTTTTGAATGAAAAGAAAATACATAAGCTAGTGTATGTCATGACAAACAATATTCACCTAAATAATTCATCTTATGTTTTCTTCTACTTCATCAAATAGAATATTCATAATGATGGACAGTGAAGTTTGTAAAGTTAATAATCAAATTAATTATTGTTTTGCTTAAGATAAGGTTGGGATTATTAATCATAAGCACAACTGCAAAAACTGAGAGCTCACCATGAAAATAAATTTGAAACTCCATAGCACTAAATCATACCAATGACAAATATACAAAATACATATTTACAAGTAAATGCATACATAGAATCACAGATGATAATCTTCACCTGTTCAATAAGGAGAGGCAGCTCATGAATATTTATCAATGTTTTGACAAGTTTTTCAAACCAAAATTTCAAAGAAAACTAACTGGATGAATTCGATTTATCTGTTGAGCAAACATTTACCCATATAATTCTTAAACTGAAAACAACACATCCTCAAATTATCTGCTGGGCAGAAAAATAATAAATTTGGCATTTTTAATGGTCTTCAAAATAACATCTTAAAAGAGTTACCTCCCATTATTGCATTCTCCATGAGGGGTGAAACTTGGATGACATAATACTTTGAGTGTTATGTGTGCATGGATTATATACAATGTTCAAATGATAGGACAATAACATAAAATTGTAATGTACAACTAAATAAAATAAAACTCCCTTGAATTAATTTGTCTGAATATCATGTTCAGATTTTAGATGGGCATGTTATGACCAACTAGGGTCCATAATCATACAGAATGGATGCAAATATTGTAATGAACTTATATTTCCTACTTATTCAAGTAGACCTTACAAATAAGGCTGGCTTGTTATGTTCACAGACCATGACTGTTGAAGCAAGCCAACAGAAGAAAGGCATAAGTACCTATCAAAGTGGCTCATCACACGCATCTCCCCAAACATGACATTCAGATTTCAAGACATAGATATGTTACAAGTGATGCCTTCACGAGGATGCAAAAATAAAAGTAAGTGCGGAATGCAATGTAAAGAAGATCACAAGCACGAGCATGTAATATAAACAATAGCACTTGGTTTATTTGCATCAAATATCCCTGAAGAGGAAGCATATGAGATGAATACGATTCACTGCCGAGTTGCACTAAACTTAATAGCACTTGGACAAAATATGTTTCCAAAACCAAAAGCTACGTATAAAAATATAAGTCCAGATTGACTGGAAGGCAAATATACATACAATACTTGCATATGACGATTCACGGTTCAGTACAGCTCTCATCAGTGATATATTGCAACCAGAAGCCAATAATAGGCAGTGTTGGGGTATATAGGGTCTGTTGGCCCTTGACAATCCAGGTTTAGGTGTTTTAATTTGTGCCTGTGTGAAATGGAGAAATTGTTTATGTAGTTAATTAATCATGTAAACTGTTACAATGATATCCATCATAAACTGTGACTTATGAACAAAGTTGTGTTTCAACGACCTAAATCAAAATGCCAATTTCACCATCTTGTCCCATTTTAACCTATAACCCTTAACATTATCAATGAATATAAATTATTTATATCAAGGTATTATTTCATTACAAAATTACATTTACATCATAATTTTTGAAATATATATATATATATCAAGAATAGCTTGATAGTAATTACATGTTTCCTTAATATTATGCTTTATCCAAAGTCTTCAAATTCATTCAAGCAAACCAAATCAAAATAATCCATTCCTCGCCATTAACCTATTTGCTTTTTCTACCTTAATATTTAAAAATCTGTGAAAATAGATTCTTAATTCAAACGTAAACATATTTAATTCTCATTGAATTATTTACAGGTTATCAATCAGGTCAAACACAGCATTCGAGTTCATGTGAGCGCTGCCACTTTACAGGTATCAAATGTTTCAATAAATACCTCAGACTGAGGTAGGAACCCATTTCTATATCTATGTTCAATACTTTTCCATAATGAAGTGGTTGTGTTGGAGTAATGTATGGAAAGGATGTGGTCTGTGTTGAGCAATCTAGGAAATCAAAAGACCAAGGAACAGACTGAGAGAGAGAGGTCAGTCAGTGCACGTGTCTCCTGACAGTTGAAATCTACACTGGAACTGACCACTTGCCGCATGAGTAAATTACCATATCTATTCAACATTAATTTAATTACTATTTCTTTTTAATAGTTACACTAACATTGCTCTCAATTGAATACATTCTTTACAATAAGAGAAGTTTGCGTTATCATACATACATCATTTCCAAATTAAGTACATGAAGTTCCCCATCAAGAGTGTTTTATGCTGCTTTTAGCAATATTCCAGCAATATCACAGCGGGGGACACCATAAATGGGCCTCACACATTGTACCCATGTCGGGAATCGAACCCGGGTATTCGGCGTGACGAGCGAACCCTTTAGGCTACCCGACCGACCGCCCTCCTCATTGCTTAATGAGTGTCCGTTGGGTTGAATGGAGCCATAAACTGTATTTCAGCAATATTTCAGCAACATTTACCATTTTGCTGAAACCCTCGTGTATGGTGCACACAAACCATAGATCAGGAAATATCTGGGATTTGAACTCCAAACATAGGATCCTGGTACAGGTAAGGGACACACCTCTATACTGTGAACTGAACTGTTTCAGATCAGTGTATCTGTGGCCTCCCCCAAACGGTGTCTAAACGGGAAGAGGAAAAGAGGTGGTCTTAACCCTCGGACCACCCGTTTTTTTCTTATTTCACCTACCATCAAAACATTATACAGTTCACTTCCAAATGCCTGTTTTTAGCATGTTTTTTTCTATACTAAATGACCACCAAACCTTGGACAGGAAAAAACAGTCTGTAAACAATGTATTGATATCATTCAGACAAATAGATGATTGTTGTTGGAGCTAATTAATCGGTCAAGAAATTAACAAATGTGGAGATTAACTCCTGAGCATAGCACAACTAAACAGAACATTCTGGATGATGTACAATGAAGACATATTCATTACTTTTGCTTCTTAGAAAAAGTGAATCTAGACACTTTTGTTACCAATTTTTTCCAAAAAGAACATTCTTGGCTGCATTCATATAGTTTTGGCTGCTTTTTTGTCTTTGGTTTCCATTGTTCTCCAGGAATCTACCAGAACACTTCACCATATGTCATGGAAGTCATGGAAGTAAGTACAGGTCAGTCATTACAGGGGCACAATACACCTACCTCACACATCGATGCATATCATACTTGCCGGCCTCATGTACCTCAGGCATAAAAACATATTGAGCTACTTCAGCCACGATACCCCTACCTCATGTACCGTTACATTTCACGATACTTGAGTCATGATACTCCTACCTCATGTATCGATACACACAGTGATACTAGAATCATAATCTCATCAATACATACTGCAATATTTAGTTCGATCCTCAGTGTGTTGACACGTGAAGATTTGGGTTAGAATTGGTCTTCAGCAACCCAGGCTTGTTGTTGTTAACGGGATCAGGTGTCAGGCTTTCTGATATTGCGTATATCAATTCTCATGATGTCAATCACTGGATTTCCTGGTCCAGACTTGAATATTTACAGACCACTGTCATATAGCTGAAATATTGCTGAGTGCGGCGTTAAACAACAATCAAACAAAATAAATTTGAACTTCTGTTTCGCAAGATTTTCAATTTTCCATGTGGTCTGGCTAACAAGAGGTTGTTGTTGACAAACATGACAGGATAAGTTAAGCGTGTTCTGACGGTATTATGCAATCTGATTCAGCATTTTCTTTCTTTCGTAACAGGCAGTTATGTAACGCTAGTCTTAGTTGTTTAGAGGCCGGGTTATTGCAAAACTAAGACAAAATTAGTTTTGTAAATTGATACGGAAATGAAATATGAATCAAATGATTGGTAGGCGTATGTGGTATCGTATTGTCAGATTTAAGTTTGCCAGTTATCAATACATTGTGAATCATGACACCCCAATAAGCCAGTCTCGCATAATCGGCTGCCTGATCTAGTGCATCTTCATCAACCGATTGTTGCTAGCAAACACCGTACAGAATGTGGCATTAATGTCATCTCACAATCAACACAGTTACAGTTACCTAGGAAACGTATCACACAATATTTGTGACCCTGACACTCTCAAACCGAACCGATAGACGAGCATCACAAAGAATAAGCTACAATAACTACAAGCTTCAAATGACTATATTCAACCAAATATGAAGGGCCTTGTTTCTTCACAGGTCCTTGGATGATGGTTTTGAACACTTCAAATTTAAGCAGAACGGAACAGACATCTAACTCATCCCTTCCAGAGAGTTCTTGTACAACTTACACACTTTACAATTTGAGCAAAGCAAGGCCAATGTTGAGTTTAAACCCATGCAACTGGGCTTCAATGAACTGCAAACACAGTTTGTCACCAATTGTCAATATACTTCAAAAGGATATCTCGTCTTCTATATTATACAAATTACAAGAACACTGCAATAGGGTTTGTCACACATTATATGTAGAATGCTTCAAACTCCGTCTGAAGCATGCGTTCCACGTGAACAGCGTTCCTGATGAAGGGTCGAAGGTGGCACAGCTGTCAACACACTCAGCTGGGTCAACAAATACGTCGGCCACTCCAAAACAAGCACATTTAGTATCCATGAGAATGATGATGATATGCGGTTACCATGGCGATTATGATGACTTTATTAATAATGGTGTCGGAAAGCGGCAACAATAAGCAGGGGAGGTAACTCAGCACCAGTCCGCTATATATGTGAATTCGCGGAAAAGGTCCTGTTCGTTCGTGATCAAAGGGCGTCTTTCCTTAGCTGGGGTTAGCACAGCTTGTTCCTGCGTGAATTCCTCATCGAAGTTGCTGACATCCTCCATTCCTTTCTGTGAACAAAAACAAGGGTTCAGGATATCAAACAAAAGATATCATTGTTCATATTTCAAAGAATAGCACCTCTATTACCCCATTGCAACAAATCCTGTATTTCTGCCATCATAACACCATAAGTTCTTCAGATTTTCAACATTAGTCCTCTTCACTGTCAACTATCCATAATCAGTTCTGCAAGTAATAGTATCTTGCTTCCCGTACCTTATACCTTATGTGCTATGTCAGCTCATAAATTGTTTTGTTGTTGCCACAATCACACACAGGAAGGAGTGAGTGAGTACGTTTTTACGCCACTTTTAGTAACATTTCAGCAAAATCACGGCAGGGGACACCAGAAATGGGCTTCACACATCATGTCGGGAATCGAACCCGTGTCTTTGGCGTGACAAGCAAACATTTTAACCACTAGGCTACCGGACCGCCCCACACACACAGGAAGGAAGGAGGTTTTTCCACCTGATGCATGAGTAAGGTACACATAATGACCCTAATGACACAATGTATCAGTTTCACAAAAGGCACGACATACGTCTCCTAATCCAATCCACCTGCACATGAAGGTAACTCACCACAGTAGGGATGAATGGCGGCTTGACTTTTCGCAACAACAGATCACTCCAGGCCACGTTCTGTTGAAGACAAATACAACATTTTCAGTTCAAGCAGTTTTTAAATGACCATGAGGCTGAAAGGAGATGAGGTGGGAGGAAGGGGAAAGGGAAGGATGAGTGAGTTTGTTTGTTGTTTAACGTCGCACTCAGAAATATTCCAGCTATATGACGGCGGTCTGTAAAATAATCAAGTCTGGACCAGACAATCCAGTGATTGGCATCATGAGCATCGATCGACGCAATTGAGATCGATGACATGTATCAACCAAGTCAGCGAGCCTGACCACCATAGCCCGTTAGTCGGCTTTTACGACAAGCACAGTCGCCCTTACAGCAAGTTTGGGTTGCTGAATACCAATTCTACCCTGGAATCTTCACAGATCCAGGAGGAGTGAGTGAGTGAGGGAGGGAGTTAGTGAGGGTATTATTGCTTATTATAATGTAGTTTATAGCTAAAAAATATAATATCCGTGACATCGGCAGTATTACAGTCATCTAGTGAGTGAGTGAGTGAATGAAAATGACACAGTTAACAATACTTCATTGTATCAAGACAGCCTTTAAATATTTGAGTCTGGACCAGGCAACCCTGTAACTGATACTATGTTTGGCTATCCACATGCATCAACCAAGTCAGCGAGCCTGACCACCCGATCCCGTTAGCCGCCACTTACGACAAGCATAGTCGCCTGCTACAGCAGGCATGCGTTGCCGAGGACCATTTCTTACCCGGATCTTCACAGGTCCTGCCTAACTACCAAATCCATTTAGATTTTGCCTGTGACCAGCAAAGGTTCTAATTCCATTCCATAAATGTGAAAAACAAACACATTTTGAAATCAAATGAATACATCACAAAATCTTTATCAATTAAGTTTTGATTATGTTTCCCTATCAGGTACATTTATGAAAATATATTTCATTTATTTAACAAACATGATCCTTGTATTAACGTCATATTTCATTATTTAAGAGGACGAGGCATAGCACCTGAAACACTGACTAACACAATCAATAGAAGGTTTTATTTGATTTGTTGTCCAGAAGACCTTACCCTGAAGAAAGCTTGTTTCTTTACGTCTTCTGCATCTCGTTCACTGGAACCAAGACGACGTTCGGGATTCCTTCGTAATAACTGAACAAGAAAGAGAACATATAGAGATAGAAATAGTCAGAGCAATGGCAGACAAGCCAAGAGTGAAAGCGGCCATTGATGTAGTTGTCCTTGACCTCAATCCTTGATAATGACCTTCATCAATAAAATCTAAAATATCTCTGTCACTGACCTCACACACCTTCAGCTAAGAGTAAGTAAGTAAGTGAGTTTGATTTTACGCCGCTTTCAGCAATATTCCAGCAATATCAAGGTAGAGGACACCAGAAATGGACTTCACACATTGTACCTATGTCGCACCTTCAGCTAAGAACAAATTTGTCCAAAATATGACTGCACAATCTAAATCTTTTCTTTTGTTTCTGTTCTTAATTCCAAAGCAGGTGTCCATTCATTTCAGTCACAAAATACTATTCAAAGTCATGCATTTGACCCTGCAAACATCATCCCACTATTTGTATATAATCACAAGGATTGTACAGTATTTCTGGTATACTGCAATACGCTTTTCAAACAATACATACTACAATATTTTTTTCTGTGTTCCGGCATATTGAGTAAAAAAATGTAACAAGGTTTGTTACTATTTGTATCTCCTAACCTAAAATCTACCCAGAAATTTATTCACAAATCATGTTTCCCTTCATAATTGATTGACAAAACAGCAGAAACGGGGACACAATTTTTCTTTCACATAGTTATCTCCCCTGTATCCATGACTACACAATGGCGGCAACTGACCATGCTGAGAAATATTTACTTCAGTATGTAGAAAATAGGATCTGCAGGTACGGTCAGTGCGACTCCCTATCAAACACTTTAGCTCCCAATATATTGCAACATGTATCGCAGTAGAGATGCCTGTATCTCACTCTATTGCAGTACAAAATATTGCTAATACACAGCCCTAGCAATAACATTGTCTACTTCTGGCCCTTCTGGCCCTTCTGGTCAAATTGTTACAAATCTGTTGGCCATTTTCAACACTAAAGGTGGCTTCATATGGGCAAAATAAGTTTTCATCACAGATTGGCAAACACTCAAAAGGTTACTAAGTTGTGTTTTAATTCGAGAAATATGTGTTGTCATTACTTAGTTTTTCGCTGCACTGCTCTTAAAAGCCGGTGCCATTTTGTAAGACATAAGTAAAAGTAATGTGATATATATGCAGGATCTATTGGTTGTGAGTCGCCAACATATGCCTGAAAAACATTCACATATCAAACTCGAGTTTGTGGGTCAAATATTGTTGAGAATGGAGACTGATTCCTAGTCTCACCAATCGTTGTACTTCACAAACTTGTTAGCAAACTGTTTTTGCAATGTTCACACACAAAATACTTGTGTTTGTAAACAAAGTTTGGCAAACTTTAGTTTGGTCTGTGAATTAAGCCACCTCAACAGACACAGGTGATTATTAGAAGGGAGACAACTCTATGGTTACTGACCATAATTAGATGCAATTTGAGTCCAACAGTATGAAAAGAAATAAGCATTTTGGGTTGTTTACTTTATATAGGGATTAATAACAAAATTAATGGCATTTTCAAGACAGACCAAAACATCCAAGGCCTTTACAAGACTGCCACCTTGCATAGTTACAGTAAACAGTTTCCATGGTAACTCACCCTCCTCATGATAGCGATGGCTTCTGTGGAGAGGAAGCGGGGGTAGCGGACCTCCTCGTTGACTATGCTGTCGAATACCTCCTCCTCATCATCACCGGGGAAGGGAGACTACAACATGTGAATACATTACATTGTCAGCCAGTCCTCTGAAACCTGTCCTTGAATAAGGTTTGATATATGAATCTGGTAATGAAGTTACCAGAAGTTGCTTTCTCAAATAATTTTTATTCACTCTCACTATACATATTGGTCTTTATTTAAAAAAATCTTTAAAAAAGCTAGCCCATTTTGAGAGGTTTATTTGATGAATTGCCTGACATTGCCATTCAAGTTTTATCCTACTATGACTTTGGAAATTACTCAATTCTGATTGGTCAATCAGAGGTTGTCAAATCACAATAACGCCCCTCTGATTGAAACAGCTGGTTTGACGGCCGCATCACCGAGGAAACAAATATTCATAGAATAGCACTTTTTTCAGTCATAGTCGGTAGGCATATATAAATAATAATATCTACAATTATAGGTTAGAAAATACAAAGTTGCGGTTTAATAGTACAATATTCAAAGGATGTGTGGCAATACATTTCATGCAGAAAATGCGATAGAATTCTACAAAGAGAATGTATTTTAAGTTTTGAGGAGAACAGAGAGCTTGGAATTTGGCACTTTTGTATATACAACTGTGAAGTCATATCGCTCATTGTGACGCAAAAGATATGACGTCACAGTTGTATATAGAAAGGTGATGTTCGGTGTAGAGCGAAAGCTTTGCAAGGTTTGCATAGGTTTTCTTTAGGGGTGTCCACCTCATGTTAGCCTACAAAGTTGCTGTGCTTACATGTGTTCAATGCCTGTCACATGTTCAAGTGACATATTACGGTGTAAACAAACTGCTTGAGCACATACAATGCCATATTTCGTTTACAGGCTGTTATCGGTGATTCCGTAATTCAGATCAACAACCCAATCAAAACACTGGACTCAACCCAGACCGCTTCACTCAATATATTTGCTAACACCAAAGAGTTCATGTTTTATTTAGTCATGACAGAATGGTGATAAACATGCTGCATTCGTTCCATATTCAATTTAGCGTGGTTAAATCTACAGGTAACCTAGCTCTACATTATGTTTATTCCCTAATTATTGGTTCATACAAAACAAAAATCTTAAGGGAAGGCCTTCCAATCTCTCTTACTTTCCCACCACTATGTGAAGGAGTTTGGTTTCAATGCAGCTTTGAACAGTTTTTCAGGTATATCACAGCAAATGATATAGTTTTAGACATTTACCAAACTTTAGTGAAACCAACACACACAGGGGATGGTGCCGATAAACCAAGAATTATTATGAGCAAAAACATGATCATGTAATCCTGACACACCTAAGGGACACAACTCTCCACAGTGAATAGCAGACAACAGACAACAATGACCCCTGCCCCTACAAATGTGTTACAGGAGAAATCCAGTCACCAGACAATAAAATGATCCTATTACTGAAAGTCTTCAGGGAAACTGTTCTGAATGATTTGCTAATTACCAGTCAATCTAGCAAAATAATTTCCAGGTTCAGTTTCTCAAGACGACATTGTCATTCCTAAATGAGTCATAATTCTACCATGTAGGCCACCCACCTCTCCGACCAGCATTTCATAAATGAGCACTCCCAGACCCCACCAGTCCACCGCCCGGGTGTACGAGGTGTCCGTCAGCACCTCGGGGGCCAGGAACTCTGGGGTGCCGCAGAATGTGCTTGTCCGGTCACCGAAACCCATGGACTCCTTACACAGGCCGAAGTCAGCTATCTTTAAGTAGCCTTCAGTATCTAGCAGTAAGTTATCAAGTTTTAAATCCCTGAAACAGACAAGACATTATTAGATAAAGTAGAACTGCTTCATTGTCAAAATATGTACACTTTCACCAAGTAATGATTAACCATTTTGTTATAAATAGAACAGTGTTTGAAATAAAATAAACTACGAGGCTGCCATCAGGATCACAGACTCTAGAAGCTGCAGGCCCTGACTAAACTCTTCAGGCCCTTATTTAAAAAAAACTGCAGCTTATTGTGACAAATAAATTGACACACAAATTTACTGCAGGCCATAAGGGCCCATACAGATATTTTATTTCTCTTAAAATCTTAAATTGAAATAAAATTTCAAACCCTGCTGATGTAAATATGACTTACCTATATACAATATTATGCTCATGAAGATATTGCAGGCCCAACACCACACAGCCTGCATAGAACACTGTCCTGTTCTCGGAGAACACATCGTTGTGTATGTGCATCATAAGGTCCCCGCCACATGCGTACTCCATCACAAAACACACATGCTCCTGCATCCAGAACACACACTAGTCAGGTCTTGTAATCATTATCCATAAGTTTGGGGAAGCTAGATTGTACGGTTTAGGAAATATGCTCCGGACAAGAGCACTATCCTCAAATTTTTTAAGTTCATAATATTTCCATGGAAACGACAAAAATATAAAATTCTAAAATTCTCTAAAAAGCAAAAGGCACTACTACTGAGCCTGATTGTTAAGTGTACCAAGTTTTGGGAAGCTAGATTGTACGGTTAAGGAAATATGCTCCGGACAAGAGCACTACCCTCAAATTTCTTAAGTTCATAATATTTCCATGGAAACGGCAAAAATATAAAATTCTAAAAATCTCTAAATAACAAAAGGCACTACTACTGAGCCTGACTGGTAAGTGTACCAAGTTTTGTGAAGCTAGGTTGTACGGTTTAGGAAATATGATCCGGACAAACAATGATTACAGACGGATGGACAGATGGACAGATGGACAGACGGAGAGACGGACATACTGATGGCTATATCCCCCCGTCATTATATGTCGGGGGGATAAAAACGCAGTCAATAATATCCAGCTCTATCATGGCGGCCCGTAAATTGTCAACTGTTTTCATGTAAAATGATGTCATTCTTAGAAAAATTTAGAAAAGATATTTAGTGATTATAGTAAAACCAATCAAATGTGAAATCATTGTAAATACTTTAAGGTTCGTATACACAACGTTCCTCCATCATCTGTGACAACATAACTAACCAATCATAAAAATCGTATATGCACCAGTGCAAATATCACTTCACGAGCAATAGTGTATGTTTTTCGCCCTCTGGAAGGCATTGTTGACGTCATTCGGTCTTCTAATATGGTAATCGTGATCAGTGCACTTTTCTAAAGGGGGGATCATAAGGATAAAACAATAATGGCCAATAACAAAATTATTACCCAAACATTTTTGTCACACTGACTTTATGAAACTCGTGTATGAATTCATTATTATCCTCGCTCTCGCTCAGGAAATACAAAAATTCTGACAATTGTTTCATAAAATCAGTTTCACACACATGCTCATATAGAAATCTGGATGTAGGCTGTGTGAACCCAGCTACTGCCAGACATTGAAGCAATGTGTGGAACCGGTACCACAAGACCAAGGCACAAGATTACAAGCGAGAAAGAACAGCGATAGTGGGTTGTAGTTTCAGTGGCCATTGACCTGGCCACTAGTTTCCGTCATGCCGGAACCAGACCTTTGCTAAAACTCACTGGCTAATCATAGCACTGTCCCTATGTAATCAAGGCTGACAGAGGAATGAAGCATGGTAACCCGTAAAGTATTAGCAATGATGTGAAATGTAACCCTGACAACCATCAGTCCAAGACATCAGCTACACTACTCACCTCTGTTTGGAAACATGCAAATAAGTTGACGAGGAAGGGATGCCGTGTGGCGTTGATCACTTCGAAGATTCGCTTCTCTGACATTAAACTCTCCACCTCGTCTCGTGCTATAATATCACCCTTCTTCAATGCTTTTATTGCAAAATATTCACCAGTTTTCTTGTATTCTGTTAACAGCACCTAAAAGAGAAAATCAGATGGTGACAAGTTACAACAAATGAAGGTTACATTTACAGAGATAGAAATAAAGCTTGGAAGAAAAGGTATCCTTGTCATAACCCTAACTTCAAGACTTAGGGGGTTGCTACTACCAAATAAACACTTAAAGCTCCCTGGGCCTAACTTAATGTTTAGCACGGAATTAGGCCTGAAACAGTTTTAAGTTACTGTATATAATAACTGCCAATAAAGTTTTTTGTTTGTTTTTTGTTTAACATCACACTTAGCAATATTCAAGCTTTATGATGGTGGTCTGTAAAGAAATCAAATGTGGGCCAGACAATCCAGTGATTGACATTACGAGCCTCGATCCACGCAATTGGGATACAATGACATGTATCAACCAAGTCAGCAAGCCTGTCCACCCGATCCCGTTAGTTGTCTCTTACGACAAGCATAGTCGCATAGTCGCGATCTTTACGGGTCAAGTGCCAAGATATGGATATACAGATATGGAACACTAAAAGTCAAGGCTTTTCAACTGTCATTTTCAAGGCTTTATTAGTTGGGTCATTTGCCTTAGTCTGTCAATAATTTTTTTAAAATCCAGCATACCATATATTAGTGGTAAGACCTAAGAAGCAGTATGAACCCTACAAATTTTCCAACAAGATTTATTTGCACATTTTAAATAAATTTTAATAGTAATACTTTCATAAACAAGCTTTTCAAGCTATCTTCTTTTGAAGGTTGCCACTAAACATCAAGGCTCTTCAAGAGGGACCTTAACATTCAAGGCCTTTTCAAGCTTGACAAGCCTTGTGCAATGAAACAATTTCTTCTCAGGTACCAGTTTCTAAAACTTACTGGACATTGAAGGGTGATCCAGGGGCTAAAATGTTCGGCTCATCTATGAAGACATATTGGTAATTCCTTCAAAACAAATAAATGCTTTTTTGAAATCTGAACTACAAACCTTTCCAAAGTGACCTCTCCCCAAAACACTGATACATCTGAACTCGGACATTCTACATGTTTGATTGGCAAAACTGAAACAAGAAAAAGAGTTGACAAAACACTTCTAATGGAACTATTGACAGAACCTCTCTCATAGTGAGTGAGCGAGTTGGGTTAATGCTGCTTTGAACTACATTCTGGTTATATCACGGCGTGTCAGCTTGATGTGAGAGGAGGATATTTGGGCATGATCATGGGTTCGAATCCGGGTCCACCCATATTACGCTCCTAGGTTTGTCTGCACCATGCCAATGCTTGTGGGTTTCACCAAAGTGGTAAACGTCTGAGACCTGCATCACTTCGGGCTTTCCTCCCACATTAAGCTGACATGCCATGATATAACTGGAATACTGTTAAAAGCAGTGTTAAACCCAACTCACTCACTCACTTTTAGCCACATACTATTCGTATCAGAGTCAAAATGAAGCTGCAGCAGTGAATGTTTGTTTGTTGTTTAACATCGCACTCAGCAAAAGTCCAGCCATGTGAAGACTGTCTGTAAATAACCTAATCTGGACAAGACAATCCAGTGATGGACATCATGAGCATCACTCTACGCAATTAGGATACGAAGACATGCCAAGGAATCATCATTATACAATGGAGATATAATATGCTGGCTAATCAACAGTGATCAAGGTGGTACCGACTAGGATTTTATTCATAAAAAACAAGAAATACAAAAAACTGTTGTCTAACAGGATCCACTCACTCGGGCTCTTTCTTCCGAGGTGGAGGAGGTGGTTTGACCCTCTCTTCTGTGTGAGCAGGGAGTGGGGGAGGTTGGGTGGGGGGTGAGGGTGCTCGGTAACTCTTCGTTGACCCCCGTGAAGCCCGGCGTTCAGGTACATTGTCCAGGTCCACCACTGTGCCTGAAGTGTTGGGGGAGAGTGGGTCCTCCGGGAGGAAGTTGAAGGTGGACAGTGCATTCTGGAACCACAGAGTGAGTGAGTGAGTGAGTGAGTGATGCAATCTCCCTAAAATCAGATCTTGGTGCTCTGTACCGCCATACATAGATCTTAGGACATCCCATTTCAGGTCACATCAGAATTACCTTTCATTCAACCAATCAGTAAGTCACAAAATCGCAAAAGTGAAAATTCAAATGTGTTCTCCAATCATGCAACCTCAAAAAAGGTCAAAATGAGGCATTACGAACTCTCACTTCAAAGAGATAAACATCTGAAACAGACGAGAACAAATTTGACTATCTATTAGACATTCCAGAATTTTCTTTTGTTTAGTTTTTAAGTTCTGAAAGGAGAACTTTGTCAAGATATTTTTCAAAGCTAGGCTGGAATGAAAGTCTCCAGCTGATACTAGTGCCTGATTTCGTATTCTAAATCATCAGTATATTTGCACAGAGCAGGGTAATAATGTCTTTTCAATTATTAAACATAAGGTAGTGACGTGAAATGAGGTTAACATTGGTCGATTTCAAGACTATTGCACTTATATAGTGACGTGACGAGATTAACATGAATACAGTCAGACAATGCATATTGACTCCGAGCCAAACAGTCCTTGTTTTAGCCCTTTAACAAGCCGAGCATCAGGCAGGGTAACAACAAGTACCAACTATTCACATGTTTTGGTATGATATGGCTGGGGATATTAAACATGAACAAATCTGACCATGTATTTGTAATAACATTGAGAATTATGTCTACCGTGACATGGTCAAAAGCTTTGACATCCCCACCTCGATATCTGTCTCTTTTTGAACATCTTTTGGTGACTTCGGATGAGAATCTTCTATGACCACTGGCTGCTTCTCCGGCATGGGGGGTGAGAAGTTCATCTGTTGAACAGGTGGACCCCGGTCAGCTGATGTGATACCTGTAGGAGACACATATAGAAGATGAGATTGGTTACACAGCTGCACACACACATAGGGTTGTTACTGCACTGTGTGGATATAGTATATATACATTATATATTTGCCTCTAAACAGGTTAGCTACAAACAATCACATTGGATGATATCTTATGGAAGTAATGTCTGATAAATTGTTATACAATTAACAGGTGTAAAAACCATAGCTTACCTGCATGATCACCAGATCTTAGCTCACCTGGTGACAATTTGAGCTTACCTGGTGACAATGTTTTAGCTGATCTGGTGACAATGTTTTAGCTCACCTGGTGACAATGTCTTAGCTCACCTGGTGATGTGATCTGTGTAGGTGTTTCATGGCTATTGGATTCCCCTCCTGATGGAAGTGACCTCTTCATTAGTCGGCCCCAAGTTGCTACATTTATGTTCATCTGTCCTGGCCGAAGGAAGTTCTTGCCTGGAATACACGTTCAGCAGGTCAACGTCATGTCTACACTGTAGCTACAGTTGGTCCACACAAAACAATGTCAAACAGTAACATTAATACTCCATAGTTTCATCATAAGACTATCTTTCCCACAACCAGAGTTGACTTCATGTCAGAGTGAAGCAAGTAAGTGGAAATCTACACTGCTTTTAGCAATACTCGAGTCATGGGAATACCAGATATGGCTTGTACTCCCCACATCTATCAATCTACTATACCCCTCCAGTTGGTGTGTGAGTAGTGTTTGTCATAGTCCAGCCATAACAGGGGCACATCAGAGACTGGCTTCACACATTGTGTCCATCAGAGACTGGCTTCACACATTGTGTCCATCAGAGACTGGCTTCACACATTGTGTCCATCAGAGACTGGCTTCACACACTGTGTCCATCAGAGACTGGCTTCACACATTGTGTCCATCAGAGACTGGCTTCACACATTGTGTCCATCAGAGACTGGCTTCACACATTGTGTCCATCAGAGACTGGCTTCACACATTGTGTCCATCAGAGACTGGCTTCACACATTGTGTCCATCAGAGACTGGCTTCACACATTGTGTCCATCAGAGACTGGCTTCACACATTGTGTCCATCAGAGACTGGCTTCACACATTGTGTCCATCAGAGACTGGCTTCACACATTGTGTCCATCAGAGACTGGCTTCACACATTGTGTCCATCAGAGACTGGCTTCACACATTGTGTCCATCAGAGACTGGCTTCACACACTGTGTCCATCAGAGACTGGCTTCACACATTGTGTCCATCAGAGACTGGCTTCACACATTGCATACATCAGAGACTGGCTTCAATGATGTGTACCCTCTGCATCTAACAATCTTGACTGTACCCCTACATTAAGTGAGTATGGTTTTACACTCAGTATTAGTTATATCGCAGTGACAGCACATCACGACTGGGTGGACATCACATAGTGTACCATGTGGGGGAATATAACCCAGGTGCTGACAAGCCGCTGCTGTTTCTACACCACCCTTCTCTCCATCACAAGAAACTGACCTTTATGCTTGGGGAATATTCTCCTCTGTCTCTGCAGTTTGGGTTTCCTCGATAATGTGGGGTTAACAAACTTAATCTGAAATAAACAGTGACATTTATAATGACAGAAATTCCCCAACTTCAAGTTGAGACAATTTGGACATCACTTGCAGGAGAGGTCTATCTGCACTGCCAAAACTAACCACCTATTTATTCCCTGATACGACGGCAAAGAGGGTGTAGTTTACTCTCTGAAATAATATTGGACTCCTTATAATGTACAACACTTCAATGACAGTGACAGACATTTATTATATCTTCTCGAGTCCACAAAATAATCAGCTTCATAGATGCTATCTACCTAACAGTAAAAATAGTAGTCCAGAAAGAAATGTTTTGTTTGTAATTTAACTCAACAATCAGCAATATTCCAGCTATATGATGGTGGTCTGAAAAATATCGAGTCTGGACCAGACAATCCAGTGATTAACATCATGTGTATCGATCCAAGCAATTGGGAAATGATGACATGCATCAACCAAGAAAACGCGCCTGACCACCCGTTCCTCCTAGTCACCTTTTACGACAAGCATGGGTTGCTGAAGACCCATTCTACCCCGGATCTTCACGGGTCAGAAAGAAATGTCACTAGTCATTTGTGAGTTCTGCAAGTGATTCAATATACTCTTGAAATGCTCTAAAGCAATCGTTTCCTACATCAGACCCACTGTAAATATTCAGCCGGGTCATACATAGTTTCCAAATTAGACCAAGTATTCTTTACTTTCAAAATATTTGTTGCTTCGTGACTTAAAAAATTAATTCTTTTTTGGCAAATAAAACCTTAATCACTGGTACAGAATTTAAACACGTCAAGACTGATTTGTTTGTTTGTTGTTTAAGCCGCACTCGGCAATATTTCAGCTATATGAGTCCAGTCTGTAAATAATCGAGCCTTGACCAGACAATCCAGTGATTGACATGAGCATCAATCTACACAATTGGGATATGATGACATGCATCAACCAAGTCAGCTCCTCTTACAACAAGCATGGGTTGCTGAAGACCTTCTAACCTGGATTAGATGTGCGACGAGACTGAAGCCAAGTGACTTACCTCAGCAAAGAGAATGCCCTGCGGTTCCAGGTGTATTGTAATACCATGGCGTTGGTTGTCTAAGAAGTCTTCTAATCTCAAAAATTTCAATGCACTCATCTGCCGCCAGTCTCGCCAGAATATTGCGATTTCCAGCTCCCTGGACTGAAACAACAACACAAAATGATACTGATGCTGAGTGATGATGATGATAAACGATCTACCATGATGGACAGCCCATAACACTGTACTCTCTAGTCCATGTAGCCAGTAAAGTGATAAACAAACAGTGGTTAATATTGTGGGCATCAGAACATGCCCTTCATGTGATGACATGGCCATGATTTCAATAAGTCATCTATTAACAGCCATCAGCCATGTGGTCATCCCATTCCCAGGTAGAACAAGCAATGGCTACTTGGTCCGGAGGAGAATGACTCAAGTACTCAATAACCTAGCACAGGTACTTCAACACCAGCAGTACTGCATACCCTGTCAAGGTCGATGGTGTATCTGTTATCCCAGCACTGCTGGCTGCACGTCTTCCACGATGTCTGCCCAACCGAGACGTTGTCTAGCTTCAACACCGCCATGACCTCGTCTACAACAAATCGTTTAATGATAGTCAAAGGATGTTTATATTACACAGTATTTTCATACTTCCTGGTATTTTCATGCTTCACAATGTTTTTCATACTTCATAGTATTTTCCCTATTTCCCATAAGAACAGGTGAAACTGTACAACATAGCAGGACTCAAAGTTTAAATTTTTAACCAAGTAGCCATATGGCTACAAGTATTTTTTTCCAGGTAGCCAGTGGTAAAATCAAGAAGTCAAGCCAATACTGTAGGTAGCCAAAAGCATTTGAAAATATCTTTTATCAAATATCTATTATAATATGTACATATAGCACTAGTCTTGGAATTGTATATTAGTGAAAACTTTACTTGATTTTTGTTACTTGTGACTCGAACAACAAGAAAGAAGCGAGTAAAGCTCACATACCACCGTTATCCCCGCTGGTCAACAACAAATAGTAAATAGTTTGTTAATTAATGAAATATTACATATTTCTAACTGATTTTAACTACAGGTTTTAAAAACTAAGATTGAGTTCCAGTGACAATTGACCCCCCCCCCCCCAAATCTCCCATGTTACCAGTGTTCACTACGAGGAAGTAGATCACCATGAACACCTTTGAATAAAAATTTGATTGAGGAGTTACATAAGAAGAATTATCAAAAGGACCAAAAATTGTTGATATAAAAACACATAAAAAATGGTACAATATCATATAAGAAAATCAATAAATTAATAATTTCCATCTAGCCTTAACAGATATGGTAAAGAATTCATAAATTCAAACTATCACAAAGCACAGATACTTATGATGATCTACATGTGTGGAAACAATTTTTGAAAATATATTAGCTATACAAAACCAGTCATCCAAATATCTAAATTCCATCATGTTTCCATGAAAACAGCAAAAGACAAAACTTTCAGAATCTTATAAAAGATAAAAAACAATCATAGCAGTTAATGTATCAAGTTTGCTGAAGCTAGGATACATAATATTGTAAACATGGATCGTACAAACACTCTACCCCAAATTTATGTTTCACCATGATTCCATGGAAACGGCAAAAATAAAAAAATTCAGAATCTTCAAACTAGCAAAAGGCACAAGTACTCATTGTGGTTAATGTGTGTAGAAAGTTTGGTGAAGCTAGGGTGCATAGTTAAAAAGATATAGGCTGTACAAAACACCCACCCTAAAAGTTTAAGTTTCTTAATGTTTCCATGGAAACGGCAAAAATTAAAAAGTTCAGAATCTTCAAACTAGCAAAAGGCACAAGTACTCATTGTGGTAAATGTGTGTAGCAAGTTTGGTGAAGCTAGGAGGCATGGTTAAAAAGTTATGGGCCATACAAAAGCTTAGATGGAAGGACGGACGGACGGACGGAACGCTATATACCCCTGATTTACTTCGTAAACGGGGGTATAATGATACAGTTTATGCTACTAGATTATATAGGTATATCCTTGCTTATCCAGTGAGCATTGTCCACTACAATAATGTACTAATTACATTCATATTTATGTATTTCAGTACATTGTCGACTTTAGGAGGAATTATTTGCGAGTACAATTATTAGCAGACATGTTTTCCAAGATCAGCTGTTATTTATTTTTGTGTCTACAGATGTGTAGCAATAGAGTTTAGTCGCCACAAGATATTTTTCAAGGTAGTCATTTGGCTACCTCTGAATTTTAGACAGTAGACAAACTGAAATTTAGGTCACATTGGCGACTGTTTTAGTCGTAATTTTGAGGCCTGCATAGGCGTGTGTACTGCTAGAAAAGATTGTGTTAATGCTTATAATATTACAGTGTTATGTTCAATATGAGTTGCTGAGTTACACATGTACTCACTTGTGAGGTCATCCTTGATGTTGTAGGTCTTGCTGCTGCCACGGCGGAGCAGGCTGCGGCTCTCCCCCGGACTGGACATCATCAGCTGGATGCTGTCCTTCCTCCGTGTGGGGATGTCCTCCAACAGCTGCTGGACACCCACCAACCTGCACACAAGTAACACAGGGGTAGATTGAACACCACATTGGACTGTAGCGAGCAGGGCTTGATGCTTTTAAAAATTACTGGCCCTTCGCCAACCTAACTGGCAATGTACCCAGTAGTCACCCCTGGCAAACCTGTCTGTACGAGAGTGTTCCACCCACCTGACTTCCAGCTTGCCCGTGACAGCAGCAGCCTTGGCCAGGGAGGAGGAGTTGTGCTGCTTGTTGTTGACGGAAGTGCGCACCCCGGGGTAGGTGGGATGCAGCAGCTGGTCGATCTCCTCCCTTAACATCTGCACCTTCGGGGATGGCTCCATCTCCAACAGGCGCTTCTCCAGGGAGATCCGCATCAAGTCAATCTTCTGACTTGACTCATTTAGGTTGGACTGGGCCTAGAGAGCCATGAGAGTGTGAGTGAATCAGTGAGAATGTCCTAAGCTCATATTTTTCATACTGTAAATCGTGAAATTAATGCGTCTCCAAAAGAATGCAACCACTGGCCCCTAGCCACAAATGCGACTCAATATGAAAACGACATCCCCCTCCTCCCAAGCATCAGTGGATTTATATATGTAGAAATTTTCCTGTCAGTTTTACAGGGGAATCCTCACCTTAATCCAACCTTACATTAATCCAACCACACACCATTTAGAACCCCTTATTAGCGCTGAGTAGAGTACTTCCTCCAAAACAATATATGCATGCTGGCTCATGTCGGCCTTTGACGCAGTCGCAAAGAACAAAGACACCATGTTACGTGGGTGGCGTCTGGCTGGTGTGATCAGTGATGACATAAGTGAGTAGAATTCTTGTCTTGACCCCAGCAGTGACAATTCACAGGATGTAATGAGTGTTTGAATGACATTGTTTATATACTTGTTAAACAGTGGTGTGGATTACATAGTTGTTTGTTTTCAGCGTATGTCTAAGTTGATATTTCTGCTATCCAAAATGTCTTATTGTTGATATAAATGCGATGTTCAATAATGCGACCACTCGCATTTTTTTCGCATTTAATTCACGCTCGCGTAAATTTTAAGATTTACAGTATCTTACTAAATTTAGAGAGAACAAGGATGACCTTCAAAGGATTATCTAACAGTTTATTTAACAGACCAATATTCAGGCTCAGATCTACCGGTAGATATTCTGCGCAAAACATATTATAATCATGATAATCAAAACTACTAAAATTATATAATTTTCCAAGTTCCAGGAGCAATAAAGAGAAAAAGACTTTCATCCCTAGTTATATATTATTACATGGAATGCAATTTTGAAATGTCTGTGAATTCAAGAAAATAAGGATTTGATCCCAGTTTGCCTGCCACAGACACTTTGTTTGTTTTGTTGTTTAACACTGTACAAAATTCCAGCCATATGATGGCAGTCTGTAACTAACGGGATCGGGCGGTCAGGCTTCCTGACTTAGTTGATGCATGTCATCGTATCCCATTTGTGTACATCGATGCTCATGATATCAATCACTGGATTGTCTGGTCCAGACTTGATTATTTAAACACTGCTGTCATACAGCTGGAATATTGCTGAGAGCGGTGTTAAGCAACAAACAATCTTGACAATAAGTTCTTATACCTGGTCCAAACACAAAGAACTCAAAGAAGCAGTCATAAAATACACACTCCTTCTTGAGGAGAGAGAATGTTGATTCACACTTTCAACACCAGTCAACCAGAAGCTTTTACTTTCAAGAGTTACCAGGACTCTGGGGTGATAGACAAAGCCTACATTTATCAAGAAAATTATCTGCTTGTAAAACATCTTTACTACTCCATGTTATGCACTATTTGAAAGGTTTAATCCAAATGTTTATAAGTACGAAAGTAAATGTTTACCACATTATTAGATAATAAACAGTTTAATCAAGTTTGTTTTAAATTAAAAAAATGTAAGCTGACGCATTTAGAAAGTCCTGATTAAGCACCCAGGAAGCAAAAATTTGATAATTTTCAGCAGTCTTAATTTTCATAATATCCAACTGCCTATTTCTTTTTTGTTTTCATTGTTTATGCAATCAGAAAATTATTTCAAAAACAAATTTAAAAGATTATCTGGCATCACCCATTTCCCGATAACAATGGCTCTCCGCTCAGTAACATGAGGACATACCGGGAAATATCTCTGTTTTCGAGGCTTTGTCTGAATAACATGTGCGACAAATAGTCCAATCTTGGGTATCATAAGAAAGCTTATGACTTCAATAAGACAGTAACCTCCCCTGGTGTATTTCGTTAGCTGTAACATGCAATTTTATTAGGTAGAAATTGGTTTCAAATGATGCTTTCTTGCCAAAATTTGCAACATGAATCATGATTGGTCAAATTCAAGCATGTGACCTAAGGCAGCCAATCAAATTACAGCAATGGATACCATACACGTACGATAAATTTCCGATTTAGACGAAAGGTTTTGGTTAAATCAGCTTATTCTGGATGTTTTAAACAGAAAAATCACAAACTATATTAAACATATGGAACTTCATGGATGTATCGTGCTTCTTTACGAGCTACAAGATTTCTCATCTTGTCCAAGCCTAGAAATCAAAGTGACGAAAGGCGAGATGATGTTTGACATACATTACACGCAATCACATGAAAAGATGGATATAATAAACTGAATGTAAGTTTGACAATTTTTAGATATATTTTTGTTGATTTAATTTATTACTCCATATAATGTATTTAAATATTTGCTTGAAAGGTCTTTATTTAGCTCCTTGACATTTTTTATATAGACCCTTTGTTGAAGCAGGTGTCTGAGAATATTTATTTTTAATAACATTGCGGGAAATAGTGAATAATTTTTTAATCTTTCACTAAAATATGATAAATTGAATTTGAAATGAAATACATATTTCAGACATTGTGAAAAGTGATAGATTTAATAAACGAATGATATGACAGATAGGTTAAAAAAAATTGTATACTAATTTGACGTGGCTACGGCTTTGACGGTGAAAATGCCTGTGGTGTTGAAAGAGTTAACGTCAGTCAGAAATATACCACCCATATCATGAGCGCAGGTAAATAAGTCTAGACAAAACAAACCAGTGGTTGATATAATGAACACTCTATCAGTTCATGGTTACATGTTATCACCAAGATTGATCCCACTTAGTCATCTGTGGCCAAGCAATAGAGTGCTGGGGACCTATTCTAACCCAGGTCCACATGTTGGCTTAACGTCTGTAGACTACTGACGTACTCAAATGGCATTAAAAATTCAGCTTTCAAGCAACTTTTTCTGTGGACAACTTAAATAAAAGTGTTTCTTTTCCAATGTGGGTTAAGCAGTCAAATTACTTGTTTGTGAATTACTCACTTCTTTCAAGGCTTTCTTGTCCTCTGACTTTGAGTTCTGTAAAATTCTCATCACATTTTTGGCTCCTTCTGTGACAGCTGACTCAATTCGTAGATGATGCCGCAATTCTTCAATTCTCATTTCAAGTGGAGACAGCGTCTGACACTGGCCTGAAACAGTGAGTGAAGCATCAGCCCAAATTCCTTCCCTGGCTGAGTACTTGTCTTGGTTTCCCTGTTGAGTTTGGCCCACTGCGACTTGAATGCCCAGGTGGACTTAAACAGCAATCTCAATAAATTCAGATCTTTTACTCAAATACAGTACCTCGCTATGTCAAGATCTGAAGATATCTCCATGTTTCGCGTATGGGTGTTTGTCTGCCTGTCCGTCCTCCTGTCTGTCTGTCCATCCACCCGCAGTGCCTGCTGCCCGTGCCTACTGCCAGTGCCTGTCGTTCATGTCTGTCCACCCACACATAGTGTCTGCTGCTAGTGCCTACTGCCAGTGTCTGCTGCTAGTGCCTGTCGTTCATGTCTGTCCACCCACAGTGCCTGCTGCCCATGCCTACTGCCAGTGCCTACTGCTAGTGCCTGTCGTTCATGTCTGTCCACCTATCCGCAGTGCCTCCTGCCAGTGCCTGCTGCCCATGCCTACTGCCAGTGCCTGTCGTTCATGTCTGTCCACCCACACACGGTGCCTGCTGCCCGTGCCTACTGCCTGTGTCTGCTGCTAGTGCCTGTCGTTCATGTCTGTCCACCCACACACAGTGCCTGCTGCCCGTGCCTACTGCCAGTGTCTGCTGCTAGTGCCTACTGCCTGTGCCTGCTGCTAGTGCCTGTCGTTCATGTCTGTCCACCAACACACAGTGCCTGCTGCCCGTGCCTACTGCCTGTGCCTGCTGCTAGTGCCTGTCGTTCATGTCTGTCCACCCACACACAGTGCCTGCTGCCCGTGCCTACTGCCAGTGTCTGCTGCTAGTGCCTGTCGTTCATGTCTGTCCACCCACACACAGTGCCTGCTGCCCGTGCCTACTGCCAGTGTCTGCTGCTAGTGCCTGTCGTTCATGTCTGTCCACCCACACACAGTGCCTGCTGCCAGTGTCTGCTGCTGGTGCCTGTCGTTCATGTCTGTCCACCCACACACAGTGCCTGCTGCCCGTGCCTACTGCCAGTGTCTGCTGCTAGTGCCTGTCGTTCATGTCTGTCCACCCACACACAGTGCCTGCTGCCCGTGCCTACTGCCAGTGTCTGCTGCTAGTGCCTGTCGTTCATATCTGTCCACCCACACACAGTGCCTGCTGCCCGTGCCTACTGCCAGTGCGTGTCGTCCATAGGGTACTACTCACCATCTGACTGGTCCTGGTCTTGTGACAGTTTAAGAATCTGCATCCTGATGAACTCCGTCTTCACTTTGGCATCCTCCAGCATCTGCTGAGCCTCCGCCAGGAGCTTCTTGTCCCGCGACCCCTGGCTGTACATCGTCAGCATGTTCTCTGCTCCCTGCTTCACCTGAACACACAACAATACACAGGTCAACACACAATTTGAAATTTACACATTGTACAGCTTTTCCATTGGACGAAAGGTCGGTCACATGACCGTGAAACTGACGTTCCTAAGTGTATGAAAGACACAATTTGACATTCATATGTTATTCACAAGACTATACTCTTGAAATGACATAAACACTGACAAACTACTTCCACATTCCTGAGGGAATCTCTGGGAATTCCCCAGGCACAAATACACACAGAAGCATTGTTCCTGATCAATTAGACCCTTTTATCTTGAAATCAGCACTTAAGCTGAGTTTGACTGCATGATCGTTTACAAATATTCTTGCTATGACCCATCCTAGCGAACAAAACGAAGAAATGCACATCCAAACTATCGTAGTATTGACACAATCCGTGTCAACTATGACAGTAACAGTCTATAGCAATTTATGAATTTATCATAGTATCTATTTGACTCATCTTAATAATCACCTTTCAATGATCAGCCAGTGGATCATTGATGACCAAACATGTCACCACCACAGGTTCATTAACAGCTTAGAAAATCTCTCTCGTCACGTTTATCATGTCGGACATTTTGACGTCTTGTACTTGATGTACATGTATTACAAAGTGCTGTCATTGCAACTGACTTTCTGAGGTTGCAAACTACGACGTTCATACAGTTTGGCCCTCACTCTATGAAGGTTCATACTACAATCAACTCACACAAAGTGAAAGTCAATTCTTAAATGAACTCACACAAAGTGAAAGTCAATTCTTAAATGAACTCACACAAAGTGAAAGTCAATTCTTAAATGAACTCACACAAAGTGAAAGTCAATTCTTAAATGAACTCACACAAAGTGAAAGTCAATTCTTAAATGAACTCACACAAAGAGAAAGTCAGTTCTTAAACAATAAGATCAACACACAACTTTTTTGTAGGGTTTGCAGATAGGTTTCTTGTTACAAGTATCACATTTGTGTTCTGATAGCTATTCCATCTATAGTCAAGTATTTCTGTTACTAAACACCTTGTCAGCTTACAATCTTCGCGTTAAGAAGTAGAACAAAAGTTGTGATGATTTTTTAACTTTGATGAAAGGACCATCAAGTCAACACCATTCCTTCCCACAAAGCTACCGTTCATCTCCACAGGAAATAACAAGAAGCACACAAGACTAGAAATTCAAATTAAAAAAAAGGTTATAGCCTTCAGGAAAACACTGGGTGTAATGTATTTCTCACTGGAAGATAACCAAACTAACTGGAAATCAGGTGTGTTTACATTGACTGCAGCAACAGACATGGAGGCAACCATCCTGGCGTTGTTCTCTGTCTCTCCCATAAACACTGTGTGATCAGATGACATAAGTAATGACAGAGAACATCTCTCTCATACAGAACCTGTTCGTAAAACGTAAACATTTAATTCTAATTCCAGCTTATATACTTCAAACTTCTCAAAAAGTAGGGTTTACAAACATGCAGGTATGTTTCTAAAAAGGCATGTATCTGTACCGATAACAGGTGGTTACTATCAAGGGAAAGAGAGGGTCCACATGGGCCTCCACAGTCTGCAAACAACCAATTCTCCGTTGTGACTGGGATCAAGAGGGGATGTTGACAACCGATTCTCCGTTGTGACTTGGATCAAGACAGGATGCTGACAACCGATTCTCCGTTCTGACTGGGATCAAGACAGGATGCTGACAACCAATTCTCCATTGTGACTGGGATCAAGACAGGATGCTGACAACCAGTTCTCCATTGTGACTGGGATCAAGACAGGATGCTGACAACCAGTTCTCCATTGTGACTGGGATCAAGACAGGATGCTGACAACCAATTCTCCATTGTGACTGGGATCAAGACAGGATGCTGACTACCAATTCTCCATTGTGACTGGGATCAAGACAGGATGCTGACAACCAATTCTCCATTGTGACTGGGATCAAGACAGGATGCTGACAACCAATTCTCCATTGTGACTGGGATCAAGACAGGATGCTGACAACCAATTCTCCATTGTGACTGGGATCAAGACAGGATGCTGACAACCAATTCCCCAATCATGTGACTGGGATCAAGACAGGATGCTGACAACCAATTCTCCATTGTGACTGGGATCAAGACAGGATGCTGACAACCAATTCTCCATTGTGACTGGGATCAAGACAGGATGCTGACAACCAATTCTCCATTGTGACTGGGATCAAGACAGGATGCTGACAACCGATTCCCCAATCATGTGACTGGGATCAAGACAGGATGCTGACAACCAATTCCCCAATCATGTGACTGGGATCAAGACAGGATGCTGACAACCAATTCCCCAATCCTGTGACTGGGATCAAGACGGATGCTGACAACCAATTCCCCAATCATGTGACTGGGATCAAGACAGGATGCTGACAACCAATTCCCCAATCATGTGACTGGGATCAAGACAGGATGCTGACAACCGATTCCCCAATCATGTGACTGGGATCAAGACAGGATGCTGACAACCAATTCCCCAATCATGTGACTGGGATCAAGACAGGATGCTGACAACCAATTCCCCAATCATGTGACTGGGATCAAGACAGGATGCTGACAACCAATTCCCCAATCATGTGACTGGGATCAAGACAGGATGCTGACAACCAATTCCCCAATCATGTGACTGGGATCAAGACAGGATGCTGACAACCAATTCCCCAATCATGTGACTGGGATCAAGACAGGATGCTGACAACCGATTCCCCAATCATGTGACTGGGATCAAGACAGGATGCTGACAACCAATTCCCCAATCATGTGACTGGGATCAAGACAGGATGCTGACAACCAATTCCCCAATCATGTGACTGGGATCAAGACAGGATGCTGACAACCAATTCCCCAATAATGTGACTGGGATCAAGACAGGATGCTGACAACCAATTCCCCAATCATGTGACTGGGATCAAGACAGGATGCTGACAACCGATTCCCCAATCATGTGACTGGGATCAAGACAGGATGCTGACAACCGATTCCCCAATCATGTGACTGGGATCAAGACAGGATGCTGACAACCGATTCCCCAATCATGTGACTGGGATCAAGACAGGATGCTGACAACCAATTCCCCAATCATGTGACTGGGATCAAGACAGGATGCTGACAACCGATTCCCCAATCATGTGACTGGGATCAAGACAGGATGCTGACAACCAATTCCCCAATCATGTGACTGGGATCAAGACAGGATGCTGACAACCGATTCCCCAATCATGTGACTGGGATCAAGACAGGATGCTGACAACCAATTCCCCAATCATGTGACTGGGATCAAGACAGGATGCTGACAACCGATTCCCCAATCATGTGACTGGGATCAAGACAGGATGCTGACAACCGATTCCCCAATCATGTGACTGGGATCAAGACAGGATGCTGACAACCAATTCCCCAATCATGTGACTGGGATCAAGACAGGATGCTGACAACCGATTCCCCAATCATGTGACTGGGATCAACATGGGATGCTGAGAACCAATTGCCAAATTAACCTGACTACAATCAAATGCCCCAAAAGGATCAAAAGATCACTGACAACCACTTTCACCTTTCCAATTCTAATCCCCCAACCCTACAAGGATCAACAAACAAACCAATAAGACATCTTCAAAAATTCAAAACCAAAATTTCAAATTCTGGGATCTCTCCCATGTGAAGCCTCCCTTATCCCCTTTCGGATAATCTTCAGGTTATACCAACAACTTCATTTGCAACAGACAACTCAACAACCACTTTTGTGTCGCTTGCCTCTGATTACTGCAACCAGATTTGTAACTTACTATCTATCAAACTAAGCAACACATGCCTCTCCCATACAATTAGGTGTTCCCATTACCATGATTACTAAGCCCCTGTCTAACACAAGCCGCCACAGCCAACAAGCACGCACCATGCTCTACCACGTATCTCAAACTCAATTTCTCTTTTATGACATGTGCAGGTTTTATAATGATGCTTTCTTGGCAGGGTCTTGTGGTAGATGCAGTTGGAGTTTTAGGGCTTGTTTGTTGAGACGTTTGGGGGCATTTGTAAGCAATGACTTATTTGAGTACAGTGATAACAACTTGATTGTGAATAGAAAATACTTCAGGTGACTGTAAAGTTAATGGGGGTAATTTTGAAACATGCTTCTTTCTGAGAATGTTGACTTGATTATTGGACACAACAGGTGTGTGTTGTGTGTCTGTGTTGGGGAGGGGGAGGGGGAGGGGGAGGGGGAGGAGGAGAGAGGAGACTCAACTTCAAAACATTTGAAAATTAATCTTTTCCTACATCATCTTTAAAAAGACATTTGAAATCAATCGTTTGTTTCTTTCAAGTTATGCGAGTATGTTGCCATGTGATCAATATTAGTGAAGCTTGTTTCTCCACATGTATTTAGTTTACATCTTGGCAGGCCAGCTAGATGTGGGAGAAAGCCTGTAGCGATGCAGGCATTAGACGTTTACACAGAGATCTATTGCAGCCTGCACATAAGCAAGACTTGACAAGAATAGTCTTAGACATCTTAGAGGCAGACTGTTATTTCTGTAATTTTATCAAGACAAACATTGTTTTGTCTGAAAGGAGACAAACAATTTGGTGATATGAGACAATTTCTTTTCTTCTTTTGGGAAGAAATAATGTTTTTTACAAGAATCATGGACCCCCAAAACTCAAGAGCCGGTCCTGATTATGTGTTCTGTGTTCTGTGTTCTGTGTTGAATACAACTTCTTGTTAACATCTTACCAGCATTCCATGTGTGTGGTAGGACATGACATAACAAATGTCACTTCCAAATTCATACATCAGTTTCACATTTCATATGAGTCATAAAAATGACAACGCTTAACGTTGGACCCCTTCCTCTCTAAGTTCCCACCTAAACAGGGAACTTGTGACACAACAACAGTCACTAGTCTTCATGATTCATTAACTGTTAAGCCTTTTTCACTTGGCTAAGTGGAAGAGCAAATTTCTGACATGAATGTTGACCATATCTCCAATACACCTAAACCAAAATATATCAGCATTCGAGGTATTCAAAATGTTCATCAACATTTTCATTACCATTGAAAGCAACAATGAATCAGTGAGGCAGCCGAGGTTGGAAAGAAAACTACCAGCTACCTATTATGTTACCGCGTAACCATGGAAACAAACACTTGGCTAAGAAGAACATCTCCAAATCATCCTGCCAATTAAACCCAGACAATAAACTCTAGTCTATCAAGCAGCAAGAAGAAAGTCGACAGCATTTGCCTGTATACAACACACACTCATTACAATCTTGGCCATGGGATCCATATCAAATATAGTGGTATGCCATTGTTCTCTTGTCCTCTGAATCTTAAAAGTTCATTATTTTCTGGATAACAGGTGTCATTTATGTTACTGTCGTCAATTTCACTATCACTGTCGTCAATTTCACAATCACTGTCGTCAATTTCACAATGCCTGATTATTTCCACTGATTCCAAGGATCAAGTGTCTGTCATTAAACACTGGAATATCAGAACAAGTGGGATACAACTGCAGGCAAGTAAGCTGAGGAGCGTGGGATGATTTGGATGAACATGCAGTATCTATTATGTGAAAGATCGCGCCGACAGACCTCCCTCGCGGCATCTGGCACGTAAAGACCAGGCCAGGAGTTTGAGCCCACTCATGAAATGGTGTGGTTGCATGCAGTCCAAAGTCCAAAGCCTGAGTCAAGCAAAACTCTGTTCGTATAGTAACCTCAGCTATTAATGGTCCATATAACAAAATCTACACACAAAAAATGCCAAGAGTCAAATTCCGGGTCAAATGGCAGACAATGGTGCCGTTGGCATTACAAGCTGGTCTCTCAACAGTCATCAAATATCTCCCCAACTCAAATCTTAAAACATATGCAACATTTCCAAACCGTGAATGAAAACACCATTTTAGATTCGCAGAATTTTAGAAATAAATGAATATTTAAAGTAATACTTCCCAGATTTCAGTAGGGTAACTTAACCCCATGCTTGCCTGTTTAGTTTAAGAATGAGGTAGGACTGTAATGATTCACCAGTACCTATGATATCATCAATACTAAGGTACAGACGATACTTGAATGATCAGTTTGTGAGATAGGGATATGCCATAAATAGATACAGAACCTGAACGGCAGGAGAAGCACAGCACAACTTGTTAGCATGGCATGGGGGAACATGAGAATGTAGTTATAGGGGATGTGCTTGCTATTAAACTATTACATTTTATGATCAATTCTTCATTTAAAACTTGGGGCATGGTGGCCCAGTCGTCTAAAGCGCTGCGATTCGCTGTGCAGAGTTGCGTCCCTTGGGCACGCCAGAAACCTATGATTGTGGGTTCGAATCCCGGTTCACCACGATAAAGTTTCTAGGTATGTCAGCACCATACCCATGCTCGTGGGATTCACCGAAGTGGTAAACGTCTGAAACCTGCATCACTTTGGGCTTTCCTCCCACATTAAGCTGATACGCCGTGATGGTAACTCCCACACGTTAAAAGCTTGATCGTACCTCCCACACGTTAAAAGCTTGATGGTAACTCCCATACCTTAACAGCTTGATCGTAACTCCCACACGTTAAAAGCTTGATCGTAACTCCCACACCTTAAAAGCTTGATCGTACCTCCCACACCATAAATGCTTGATCGTAACTCCCACACCTTTAAAGCTTGATCGTAACTCCCACACATTAAAAGCTTGATCGTAACTCCCACACCATAAACGCTTGATCGTAACTCCCACACCTTAAAAGCTTGATCGTAACTCCCACACCATAAATGCTTGATCGTAACTCCCACACATTAAAAGCTTGATCGTACCTCCCACACCATAAACACTTGATCGTAACTCCCACACATTAAAAGCTTGATCGTAACTCCCACACCATAAACGCTTGATCGTAACTCCCACACCTTAAAAGCTTGATCGTACCTCCCACACCTTAAAAGCCTGATCGTAACTCCCACACCATAAATGCTTGATCGTAACTCCCACACCTTAAAAGTTTGATCGTAACTCACACACCTTAAAAGCTTGATCGTAACTCCCATACCTTAACATAGACTAAACAGGAACGGCACCCTGACCAACTTACACAAAGTAGTCTTACACTAAGTCCACCTTGCTCAGACACTTCAACATAGATTTACAATTTAGTCTTAGAGCTAAGATTGCTTGGAGCAAATGGGCCCAGGTCGTGAAAGTGAGTTGGACCGCTTGTATTTATATATTGAATAAGTAATATCTTATTGCCCCACGTCATCACTGAATCAAGTGTATGGGCTCCAGCTAATGCTTGTGTGGGGTGCCTACCTTCAGTTCTATGTTCAGCTGCTTCTGCAGGTAGGTGAGACGCTGGTTCTTCGTGTCTCCGTCATCAGAGTTCCCCACCTTCTCTGGTGACATACAGTCTGCAAACACAGCATACATACACTCAATATTACCAAGAACGGCAGATTTGTTTGTTTGTTGTTTAACGCTGTACTCAGCAATATTCCAGCTATTTGACGGCGAACTGTTAACAATTCGAGTCTTGACCAGACAATCCAGTGATTGACATCACAGGCATCAATCTACGCAATTGGGATATAATAACATGCATCAACCAGGTCAGCGAGTCTGACCACCAGATCACGTTGGTCGCCTCTTCCGAAAAGCATAGTTACCTCTTATGGCAAGCATGGGTTGCTGAAGACCTATTCTACCCGGATCTTCACGGGTCTCCTTAGACATAAATACAAAACAGAAAATCAGCAGGATCCCAGGAACACTCATAACTTCTGAACGGCATTTTATTCAATATATTTATTTTACTATTTTTTTGATAATTGCATCAAAATTCTTTTTCGTATTATCATGATTATTGGGTTTGTTTGTTTGTTTAACTAAATCACTAGCATATCAAGAAATACAATTGATATGGTAAATCATGTCTAGTGATGTTTCATCACAAAATGAGCATTTCTGATTAAATGCAATGTTTTTATAATTACCTGAGGCTACACAGTGCGATAGGTGTAGCGTCAGGTAAGGTAAAACTTCACATTTTCATTGACCAAATCTTTGATCTATTGGTCGTTCACCTGAAGCGAAACAATGTAGTTTTTTTTACCAACAGAAAAATAGTTTAACTAAAGTGTAACCTTTTCATAGGCCGACCCTCTTGTACAGACTTTTTTTCCCGATCTTCAAAATCGGGTTTGTTTACGGTCATATACTGTAAGTGTTTTGATTTTTGCTTAAACATCAGTGGATTTAATTATGGTAATTTTCGGCCATACCATTCCACTGTTTGGCCATGCACTTGGCTGGGGAAAAAAAAGGATAACATTTGGTTCTCGTGTATAATACATTCACCTTATGTTGGTGTCCAAAAATTATGAAAAAATTGTGTTTTATACTCATCTCCTGAGTGAGTGTGAGTGAGTATGATTTTACGCCGCTTTTAACAATATTCCAGCAATATCACAGCGGGGTACACCAGAAATGAGCTTCATAGATTGTACCCATGTCGGGAATCGAACAAGGGCCTTCGGCGTGGTGAGAGAACGCTTTAACCACTAGGCTACCTGACCGCCCCTTCATCTCTGGTGCACATGTACAGAACAGATGCTCTTGATTATTACAAGTTACAAGATCTTACCTGCAGGAGTATCGTATCCTGTGTTGATCATCATCAGATGAGCGTTGACATCTTGCAGTTCCTTCTGCAGCACCTGCAGCTTGCTGTTGGCCTTCTTCACAATACTGTTGACGTTGGACAGACTCCGTTTGTCTGTGGACACTTCCTTCAACTTTTCCGCTCCTTCTTTTATCTTCATTTCCTTGCGGATCTCCTTCTTGAGGTTCTCCCGGACATCCTCCATCTTCTGCTTCATGTCGGTGTTGGAGACATCGGGTTCCAGGCCGTACCGGATCCCAATGTCGCCCTGTGAGTTACGCATGGCACCTCCCTGTAGACAAGACATTCAACATCAAGAACAAGCTCTCCTTGTGTCACAAACTGCATCAAAATGTTTCTTAAATGATGTTCTTTTCAAAACGCCATAGTATTTGAAATGTCAACACACAACCTATTCACCGAGGCTCACTACAAATAAGTGAACTAAACCTACACTGACATACGAACCACAAAGTAGAAACAAACATCCTGTCTAGTGGAAATTAAGCAAGGATCAAAACCCTTATGTTAAAAGTGTGTATTTAGGGGGTCACTAGATTCAAAAACGATAGGAACAACCCTCAAAGGCCCCAAGCCCTACGTTAATTTTGAACACTGCCCGCCTAAGATGTACAGATGCCTATGCGAGCGGAAATCAAACAGACTGGAAGTTCATCAAATTTAATAGTACATGAACTTCAGGAGTCGTGCCACAAGGCACTCTCACATTATATATATATGATAAGTGTGCCCTTTGGAACTCAAGTATGCCCAAAAGAAATGTACTTGATCAGTCTTCAAACTCAGTGAATGTTCTTTCATCATGACCTAGATAATATTCACAAAAGTTGCCCCCTCCCTTTTCCTTGAAATTCAAAATAGCCTTCTCAGTTTCCGAATCCACAGATCTTTTACTGCTCATACTGCTCGCCCCTAAAACTTGAAAACTAAAACTTCCTGTTTAAACCAACGTGAGACTAAATCCTGGGTATGAATTAATTATTCCATTCTTTACACCAAACTGTTGTCCACGTATTTAGTTTATCTTCAGGTATTGTTTGGTATAATGCCTTCATGAATATAACTTGTACTGGAGAGGTATTGACATAGCCTTTTTTTTGCTTGTCTACCAATCCAGATTCATGGAATAAAAATATGTTTAAATCACACCAAAAATACAAACAACAAAAAACCCAAAAAAAACACACCTTCCAGCGGTGGAAACTGACAGTTTTACTCTACTGGTCCTTATGATGCTGACATATAGCAAAATCCTAAAAAATGGCCAATTTCTTCTAGTCATTATGATACCTTAACCATTGTGCAGTTTGACAAGGACTACAGGACTAGTGACAATTTCTAACGCTGCCTTCCTTCGCTGAGGCACCAGTTCTGCACTTGCCTGATGTGTACAAAGTGTCATGAAGTAATATTGAACAGTTTATTACCAATGCTCCGGAAACAAAAAGTGATAGACAAGTGGAGCCCATTATATATCCCTTGCAAAACATCGTTTGGGCGGGTATAATTGTTGACTTTATGATACCAAAGCAAATGGTACCTTCATCCCAAACCAGATTTAACACAAACTGGCATAAATTGCGATACACAAACTCAAATGTTCAAGAAGCCACACAAGTAGGTTTTGATGGCTGACTTTCACAGGGAAATAGTTTTTGATTTCAACATCCCTGACAGCGGTATATCTGTATAAGTAGTGCTGTATTGAACTACACTGCAAAACATAATCACCTTGGTATGAAAGTCAAAGGGTCATTTTAACCCTGGTGTTAAAACTGAAGACTTAATGTCACTAGTTTCAAATACTAGAGCAGTAAACCTCTAGTACCCCAGGAATGTTCTGAATTTGAACATTGCATATTCATACAGATTCTAACATGTGAGATGAGGTGAAATTGGGTTTAATGCCATGTTCATAATGATTCCGCTCACGCAATATGCACACACACGTGTGTGTGTGTGTGTGGCAGCTTGTACAGACTTATGCCAGTCTTATTGTGCTAGCATTGTGCTAGCCCACTGAGATACCATGTGGCAGTTCAACATGAATACCCCACTCAGAGTATATTGACTCCAAGCCAGCCAGTCCTTGTTTTCTACCCTTTATGCCAAGCGCCAGGCAGTGTAACAACAAGCAGTCTGCAACCTCAGCCACTAATCTGAAACGTCTTCCGATTAAGTGAGATAAGTGGTTTATGCTAGTATATATGCTTCACTTAAAATCTACTGAAAAAAATGCCCAAATCCAAGTTCGGGGCTGTAGGCCAAAAAGTTCTTGGCACAGACTGAGCAAGTTCCATCTTTAAAGTCTTTTTGGTATGATGCAGCCAGATGATTGAACCACCAACATTCTGCTCTCCAGTTTTCCAAAGGTGTCAGATTGAAATAAAAAGTACATAGAGGTTTCAAGTGCTGTAGTACTCATTGAGTCAACAGTACTGTGATAACACCCCTCGCCCACCAACACACAAACACATGTACAATTATCTACACCATGGCTGTCGGTCCAGCCAGCAACATGACCCCTATGACCTCAGGACAAGCAGGCCAGACATTGGCTAGACACATGGGAGGGAAACAGATAAACACTGACGCAATTAGCAACCAACGTCCCCATGGAGCCCCAACAACAACCTGTGTATACCTCACAAGTGAGGCTTCAAAAATGAGGTTCCCACTAATTGCAAAATCAGAGAGTGATGATTCAGGCACAACAAATATTTATCTGTGTTTCTGGAACTATTTTACTTGAAATGCTGAAATAACGTCCATGAACAAATTTCCACATTACCTTGACACCTTCATCAAAATCACTGGAGGGAAACAGTCAGGCAGACATGTAGATGTCACAAAAGTCTCTCCTTATTGTTTCTTTACAAATACTTGCATACATAAAACACTTCCGACGCAAACATGAGAAGCCCAATGAGTCTCTGCATTTGGAGTTTTGTGGGTAAAACAAGTTTCAGGCCATAATAAAATCACCACAAAGGCTCACATGAAAGAAAGCTTTAATGAGGGTCCTGACGGGTGTTACCGACTCGTGCAATAAAACACTATTGTAAATGTGAAATTGGTCAATATCTTATCATGAAGGCTCAACATAAAAAACCTGACATACTTTTTAGCGTAAAATAACAACTTACTGCTTGTTGAGAAAGAACAAGAAGAGAGACATGTTCCTTGTCCAAGGCACTATACATTGCATTGTTTATCACTGATACCTTTGAGACGGTGACTGGTCAAAGCTGTTCTGTGAAACACAAGCAGGTTTACTGTATCTATGACCAGTATTTCAGTTACATGATGGCAAGTCAGCTTGATGTGGTACAAGTCAGATGTGATGAAGGCCTTACACATTTACAACTTGCATGAAACCCATGTACAGACAAACCAAGAAATTCATTTATAATGAGGGCGAATCTGGGATTCCAACAAACACAGTCCTTGAAAGCCGAAGTGAGTTAGTGAGTGAGTGAGTGAGTGAGTGAGTGAGTGAGTGTTTAACGCCGCTTTTAACAGTATTACAGTTATATCGCAGCGTGTCAGCTTAATGTGGGAGGATTGGCCGAAGTGATGCAGGTCTCAGACAGTTACTACTTTGGTAAAACGCACGAGCACGGGTATGGTGTTGACAAACCTAGAAACATAATCTGGGCAAACCGGGATTCCAACCCACAATCAGGTTTCTGGCGTGCCCAAGGGACGCAACTCTGCACAATAACATCTAATCTTCTGTTTTCAATCAGTTTTCATTTACAAACTTATAAACATGCGCCAAAATAAGGATATTTTAACATTGTTTTACAGAAGAAGAAACAATAACTTATTGTTTCAAAAATCAAAACTATATATCACATTTGAAAAATAATATCTGAAAAACAAATAATCAACTTGTTGCAGCCCTGGCAAAGAAACTTTTTCACGACCTTCCTAATTCTTCCACCAGAAAGCAAAACAAATTTGAACATAGCCCTCTTGAGACACTTTTTTATCAGAATTTAACTGCACGAGCATGTTCAAATGTTTTTGGCTGTAATTACGCCCTTAGACATGACACAAAGAATTGTGTCAAGGTCATGGTAGAAAATTTACCATGATGCTCGTCTTGATTCTGTAAAAAAACATCCTTCTCACAAACATCAAACATGTAAAAGGAAATGAACTAACCTGGGAGAAATGCATTGAAGTTAAAACATAGCCTACTCCATTGGCAGATCAACTCCATTAGCAATCTGCATGATCTCAGAACCATGTTTACATGGAGTTTTTTAGACAGTGAAACTTAAGAAAATAGCTAGACTAACATCTAGTCTCTGAAATGAAAATATCTTGCAGAAAAAAAACACTTGTTAAGTTCTCTTAAGAAAATATATAAAAAGAAGGCTTGAGACTTTTTCACTTTCTGAAACTGCAGAAATCAAGACTTGCCAACTATTATAGACTTGCATGTTCTGTATTGGAATATTTGTTTCAGGGTCTGTATATAAACAGGCGGGAAAATTTTGTTATTGCTGGTGTTTTCAAAAATGGCCTGGAGATAAGTGTTTTTACTTGAGCCTCTTTTCTTATACATGTTTTGATAATAACGTTCAGTAAAACATGACTGCCCTTTCATTTCATCTGCAGGGCTTTACCGCAACTTCCAAAAGTTGGAGTATTGTATACAGGGTTTTACCTTGACTTACAAAAGTGGGGCCCTGAGGACCCCCAATAATTAATTCTGAAGGGTCCTTGCTGGCAATATGAGGGTCCTGTAAAGTAATGAAATGATGTAGTGTACTGCACATTTAGATAAATACTTTAGAGCCTGGAACGAATCAATGTGGACAGCGGTCTTGATTGATGGGTGAAATGACAGACACCCATCAAGCTCTTGATGTCCTATAGTGTAGGTACAGTAAATATTATTGTGCTTCCTTCGGATGCAGTATATTCTTTTTCTGCGTCCAAGCTCAATATTTGTGGTACTGGACACACATTTGTGCGTCCAGCAAAAATCTGCGTCTTTCTCTGTTTATTTACCTGCGTCTTTCGCTGTTTTGTGTTTTTATCTCAGAAAGAGAACTAATACCATACTGTTACATGAGCTACAAAAACAATGCTAGATCTTTTTTGTTTCCTGGTTTACAGATATTTTTTAAGACGATCAAGGTTGTTAGGTGAGCAAAAAAAAAAGAAAGAAAACAAAAGCATTCAGATATTATTGTTAGGTCCCCAAGATGTTATCTGAACATGTAGCTATGTGAGCCATATAAGTTAAACTTATTT